GTGTTAATATACGTAAATATATTTTCGTTTTGTAAAATGGTCATATCAACCAAATTCAAACTTGATTTCATTAATACGTAGTTTAAAGTGCCATTTCAAAATAAGATCCTTCAAAGGTTTTTAGCATACCGGTAAGAAGAAAAAAGTATAGGTCATATGGAATAATAAAAATTTTTGTTACAGCGAAGAATGTCAGTAGTATTTTAGGATATAAGTGTTAGCTTAGAAGCGAAATCTGTCTTTTTTTACATAACGTACGTACGAAGATGAATTTAAAATTCCAAATTTAGTAAAATCCTATTCCGGTGCATACAGCAGAAATTAAATACGTACGTACATAATGCAGCAATAAATTTTTTTCTCGCATTTGACTTTTTTTGTCAGATAATATCCATGTTATCGTGAAAGCTCTTATGATCATAGATTTCTCTTGTTATTTTTGTACGTTATTACGTAAGCAAAACAATCCCGAATTAAAACTCAGTTAGCCAACCACGACTCGTAATCATGATCATAATTGCACGATAAAATCGATATTGGATCATGCAATGATAAATATCACAAAATTTATTCTGTCGGAGCAAATTTCATGATATTAATCGTTGCATGAACAATATCTTATACATATACTTTTTATGCCGGCAAAGCAGTATAATGCCGGTGGGAGAGCTTAAGAAAATATTATAGGATAGAGGCCAATTTAACTCCAACAGTGTACATGGAAATAAATATAAACTTGGAGAAGCGAAGTGGGTCTTTTATAATTGTTAAGGAGCTAGTAGGGTGATAGGCACTATAGAGTAATACTTTGATATCAATGAGTGATGATAATGGGTGATGCAATGATGGTGATGCTGTTAAGGGTGATAATAAAGTGGTGATCTTAAGGACTGTGATGGATTACCAGAGTCGAATAACAGTCGTAAGTGTCGTTCTCTATCACAATTACCACACGTTACTAATGAGAATGGCAATATCTGATTCCACAAACGTTCTATAATCCGAATCTTAATAAGTAAAATCGAAGTTATAAGTCAATTCAGTCCGTCGAATTGAGTCTCGAAAGGGTTTATTAAAGTTACAAGTCGAATTCAAAAGACAAGACAAGGGACAAATTCAGATATTTATATACACTTTATTGTTTATTATGAATTGTGAACTGTCACTCTTTATTGAATTTCAGGCACTTATATACATTTTGTTTTATTAGAGCGTTTATGCTCAATTTTGAGCGTATACGCTCTTTCTGAACGTATACGCTCTTTTTTGAGCGTATACGCTCATGGAGCAGGGATCTACAAATTTGTGTAAGCACGTATATGCACCCGCATTGAATAAGCCACCGAGCCACAATCAACTACCACTTTTCACCCACCTGGTATATGAGTTTTTATATATATCTTAATGCTAAGAAGCCACTATAATGCAAGCCGAAATTTTAATAGATTCCGAAACTCATAAGCCATTCCGAAAAATTCCCATGCACTAGGCAATTCTATGGGAATTTTTGAATTGCGGTTTGTTACATGTACGGAATTGGTATATATGGCATCATGACGGCGTTTTTCAACTCAAATATCTTTAGTCAGTACGACAAAAAAAAGGGCTATAGAAAGAGAATTGCAAAACGAATTTTCGCTTTAATAATACAATCATATCAAAGGAATTTAAAAAAACTTGGTCTTTATTTAAATGATACCATTACGTTAACTTAGAGAATTATGTAAGATCTTTTCTCTAATGCTAAATAACTATCGTGTTCTATCAAGTGACTAAGAGAATTTTAAGATCTCTATTTAACATTATTGCAACGGCTAAAGAATTTTTAAACTTTTCCAAAAAAAAATCACCATGCAAACTAAAAGAATTATTTTCAATTAGAGGCCTGTGTTATGCTTGAAAATGGAAACTGTTATAATTAGTTTTATTCTAGTTATTTTTTTTTGTATAAGCATCATTATTCTTATTTTATTTTATTTGGTTAGAAAATATTAATTTATTATTCTATTTTGGGTATAGGGATGGGATCTATAAGGCACAGTTAGGTGTAAATAACCCCTAACGAGAGTTAATAACCCTCGGTAAGGGTTAAAAACTCTAGGTGAGGGAAGTTAACCCTCAGAAAGCATTAAATATCCACTGTAAGGGCAGAATGACCCCGTTATGAGTTAGAAAGTATATAAAGAAAAGGTTTTTGATAAATAAAAGTTAATGAACGTTTTGTGCTTATTTGTTTATAAGTAAATATGTTAAGCGCACTGTCCTCCTAACAAATGCATTAAACTGAAACGTTAATAAAGAAACTTCATTTGTACCAGAGTAACGTTAGACCATTATATTTTAAATACTTATCTGAGACCTACTCATAATTATCAATCCAAACGCTATAATCACGTGCTCAAGTTTGTTCATAATCGAAGCTAAATTGGTTCAAGATTAGTAAAGCTCTCCCCCAGATCGTAACATTTGGTGCCAGTTGTGTGGACATTGAATGATAAAACCAGAAACCTACAGCTAGAATTGAATGTTAAATTTTTGATTAAATATATATATATCGAGTAAAGAAGGAGTTGTCATCGAAGGAACTTATCTAACATGGATTGCTATTTGGACGGTGATAATAATGACAATAATAATGATCCGGAAAATCAGGAAACGGCTTCTAGCAACAGATTCAACAATTATTACAGTTAATGACTGGAGTTTTACCACAAGTACAGCAAAACGACCAAATCTGGGAAATGAATACTATAAGCATTCCTACTTTTGCTGGGGTTAACCAGGATCCCGTAGAGTGGCTTGAAATAGTGAACCGTGCTTTTGAAGCTAATAATATCCAAGGAAATCATTGAATAGCAGTTATTGGCACGTATCTCACGGGAATGGCAGCCATGTGGTGGAAAACTAGACGCAATACCAAACCTCATATTTATCGTTGGGAAGATGATTTTCATCAAGACGTTAGCTTTGTTTATCAATTTTCGTCAGCATTTTTGTACTCAAATGCTCATGGGTCAGTGGAATACAGAACTGCTCACTAGATATCAAAGGGTAGGGGAAACTGTCAATCAGTATGCAGCAGATATGGCTGCTTTGTTTAGATGAGTAATAGTAGGAGGAAATCAATATCCAGAATCTATGAAGGTGCAGATTTTTGTGCAAGGTCTACGACCCGATTTGGCACTTGCAGTAGAATTGTTCATGCCCGGAACCTTACAGGCGGCGATAGAAGGGGCTATAATTAGCAAATTGACACTTTCCAGAAACTTAACAGTATACAATTCGGCCCCTTTCATGAATCCAGTAGCCTCCTACCTTCAACAACCCACAAATAGAATAATTCAATCATCTACTTCCAACCCTATTGAAGATCCTATGAATAAATTAACTACATTAATGGAAGAGTTGGGAGTTTCAATAAAAAATAGTAATAATAGACCAATAGAAACTTATAATGGAGGAAGAAATAATTTTCGTGGAAACCGCCCACCAATCACGTATTATAACTGTCAACAACCTGGACATATTTCTTACGATTGCCCGACTTTGAATAATAATGGTAATAATTCTACTCAACAGGTAAATAATACTGAATGATGCAGACCTAAAGAAAGAGATAGACCTATGAATAATAATCGACCCACTGTGGATATAGCATGTGCTCAAGCTATATTAGCTCAATTGTTGAACAATGAAGAATCTTTAAACTAAAAAGCGCACCTTTAGAGGGTGAGAGTGTGCCCAATATTAAGAATCCCTTGACTGATCAGATGTTTGAAGTATATGTGGCAAAAAGGAGACGAAAAAACGATGGTGAAGCATTAGAAGTAGAAAATTCTGAAGAAAATAAAGAAACCAAAGATTACGTAAACAGAAACAGGAAAATCCCAAAGAAAAAGAAAACCAAACTTGTGGAACCTTTGATAACCTCTAATATACAACCTTATTTTGTAATGACCGATCTACAGAATAAGAAGGCAGATATAACTTATACTCAATTATTTCAAGTAGCGCCCAATGTAAAAAAGGAAGTAGCTAAAATAATTAGAGCAGGACAAATAACTACCTCTAAAGTGGCTGATTTTTGTCTTGAGGAAGACGAGACCTTGAGGACTACATTCATGTATTGTGAGACACAAGTTAAAGGACATCCAATTCTTTTAATCTTGGATAGTGGTTCATCAGGGTTTTACTACAGAATCCTGACAAACAAAATCCTGACACACAAAATCCTGACAACAAATTCCCAACACTCAAAATACCAACAAATTAAAATCTAGACAAATCAAGATCCTGACATTCAAAATCCTGACACTCAAAATCCCAACAAATTATAATCCTGACATATCAAAATCCTGACATTCAAAATCCCGACACTCAAAATCCCAAATTATCAAAATTCTGACAATAATAAAATCCTGACACTTAAAATCCCAACACTTAAGATCCTGACATTATCAAAACCCCGACATTATCAAAATCCCGATATTATCAAGATTCTGATATTATCAAAATCCTGAAATTATCAAAAT